AAAATATACCATATCATAAGACCCGGGTATTATATAGGAATTTCCTTTGAGGAGACCCCCCCCCATTTTTTTCCAGTGGTTTTCATAATACCCTAGGGTGTTTTATCCGGGAGAATACGGTAATACAGTAAACTAGTACGGTATCAAACTTCAATAATACGCATCTAGTGTCAACTAATGAAGTATAGAATTTAGGTTATTTTTTTTCCCCCCTCAACAAGACTATGCACAATTCCTCTTACGGCTTCATTTTTTTTGGGTTGCGGAGCAACCTATTGCAATCGACTAGAGCTACTTTTATTTTTCCGGGTAGTTTTGTTTTTGCCCCTTCAAAAGTGGAATAGAAAAAACAAAAACCATATAAAGAATCTACACTTGTTAAAACACCTAGTCTGTTACCAAGGTATATATGTCAGATTATAATGCATGTCTAGTCTGTAGTGGGGTACTCAAAAGTGAGTATAACCCTTTTAGGGCTTACTACTTGTATCCCCCTCCTTTCTATTTTCAACATTCTCCTTCTAAAATCTCTCGACATTTTCCTTACACCCTCGAACTTCACCACTAAGTCACTCGTAAACCATGGCTCCTAAGCCTACTAAACTCTAGTAACTCAACATGCTATCAGAGCTTAACACTCCTGGCCTGTGGGCCCACTTGCTTCCGCTGCCCTACTGTGTGTCGCGCGCCCCGTGGCGCACGACATCCTATTTTTCTTCCCGCCACGCGCTCGGAACGCGTGGCGGTTTTCTGCCCGCCGTGCGCCCCGAGGCGCGCGGCGGGTTCCTACCTCGTCACGGCGTCTTTGGGGCCCGCGCACTGGCCTCGACCGTCGCCTTGTCGCGGCGTTTTGGGGGCCCGCACGCAGGCCCCTCCCGTCGCCTCGTCGCGGCACTTTCGTGTCAGAATTAGAAGAAAGAAAGAGGATTGAACTAGCAAGAATGAGGATACAAATAGCAAACCCTAGAAGGGTTGTACTCGCTATAGAGCACCCCACTACAGGCTAGAACAATAAGATAATATTCTGACACACCCCCATAGCCAAAGTGGGGTGTAATCAGCAGAGCACGCAAAGCAAAACAAGCTCAGGGTGGATCACAATGTCACCACACATTCTGAGCACAAGTTCAAGAAGAAATAGTTTAGAGTTCACAATTAAAAGCAAAGCTAGTGGTAGTCACAACGGGCAAGTGAGGAGGAGGAGGGAGAGTGAGGGGAGAGGAGACAGGAGGCGACGGCTGAAGCTGCAGACACACGGGCAACAGGAGGCAGACTGGCACAGCGGCTACCGGACAGCGCCCGGACTACAGGAGTAACAGGCCCCGCGGCTCAAATAGCGGCGGACGGGCAACGGACCCACGGGCGGCTGGCACAGCTGGCTACGACTGGGCTACCGGGACAGCGCCCCGGACTACAGGTGCTGCTGACGACAAACTGGCAACCTCCGCTCATCCTCCCGCACACAGTCCCACCCCCCTGATACACACCCACTGCTACACCACTAGCTCTACTCCCACGCACCCCCCTTAAACCCTAAATCCAGTCTCCCACACAACCACCCCCCTCAGCGACAGCTGCAGCAGTGGGAGACGAAGGAGGAGGAGGAGAAAGGGAGGAAGGCACAGCGGCCACCCCCATACCCGCCACCCCACAGCGCGGCCCCCTCAGGTCGCCACGACGGACGACGGGAAATGGCAGGGGGGGGGGGGGAGGGGGGGGGGGGGGAGGCGGTGTGGTGAAAGGGGCCCACCACGAGCCTGGTTGGAGGGCGGGGCCGCAACAAGGGGCGGGGCCGCGACGTAGGGCGGGGCCGCTTCGAGGGGCGGGGCCGCGACATAGGGCGGGGCCGCGACGTAGGGCGGGGCCGCGACAAGGGGCGGGGCCGCGACGGTCGGGGCGGGGCCGCGACGTAGGGCGGGGCCGCGACGTAGGGCGGGGCCGCTTCGAGGGGCGGGGCCGAAACATAGGGCGGGGCCGCAAAGGTAGGGCGGGGCCGAGCCGGGCAGGCGCACGGGCGGCGACGGGCCGGGGCGGGGCCGCGACGTAGAGCGGGGCCACGTTGAGGGGCGGGGCCGCGACGATCGGGGCGGGGCCGCGACGTAGGGGAGAAGCCCGCCGCGCTCCCCGGGGCGCACAGCGGGCAATGAACCGCCGCGCGCCTCGGGGCGCACGGCGGGCAGAAAACCGCCGCGCGCCTCGGGGCGCACGGCGGGATGAAAAAATGCCGCACGCCACGGGGCGTGCGGCTCAGAGAGTAGTAGCAGTAGTAGCAGCGGAAGCTAAGCGGTGGTAAGCCCACCCACAGGATCGATCCAGGGGGATCGACCTGCTCTGATAGCATGTCAGAATTAGAAGAAAGAAAGAGGATTGAACTAGCAAGAATGAGGATACAAATAGCAAACCCTAGAAGGGTTGTACTCGCTATAGAGCACCCCACTACAGGCTAGAACAATAAGATAATATTCTGACATTTCGGGGCCCGCGAGCTGGCCCCTCCCGTTGCCTCGTCGCGGCGCCTTAGGGGCCTGCGCGCGGTCCCCTCCCGTCGCCCGTCGAGGCACTTTCGAGGGCCTGCGCGGCTCCCTAGTACGTCGCCCATCAGGGCACCCTGGGGGCCGCGCCCTTCCCCTCCCCTCCATCCTACTTTCCGCTGCAGCAGCAGCCCCTCGAGCAGCTGCCCCAGTAGCAGCAGCCCCTGGAGCAGCCGCCCCAGCAGCAGCAGCCCTTGGAGCAGCCGCCCCAGCAGCAGCAGCCCCTGGAGCAGCCGCCCCAGCAGCAGCAGCCCCTGGAGCAGCCGCCCCAGCAGCAGCAGCCCCTGGAGTAGCCGCCCCAGCAACAGCAGCCCCTGGAGCAGCCGCCCTAGCAGCAGCAGCCCCTGGAGCAGCTGCCCCAGCAGCAGCAACCCTTGGAGCAGCCGCCCCAGCAGCAGCACCCCTTGCAACAGCCGCCCGAGCAGCAGCAGCCCCTAGAGCAGCCGCCCCAGCAGCAGCAGCCCCTGGAGCAGCCGCCCCAGCAGCAGCAGCCCCTGGAGCAGCCGCCCCAGCAGCAGCCCCTGGAGCAGCCGCCCCAGCAGCAGCAGCCCCTGGAGCAGCCGCCCCAGCAGCAGCAGCCCCTGGAGCAGCCGCCGCTGCTGCAGCCGCCCTTGGCCCCTGCAGCGGCCGCTCCTGGACCCGGTGCAACCGTGGGGGGGTGGGTGTGGGGGTGATGGTTGTGGGGGTGTCGGTTGTGCGTGCCGTCCCCTCCTCTTTCTCCTCCTCCTTCGTCTTCCACTGCTGCAGCTATCGCTGAGGGGGGTGGATGTGTGGGAGTCTGGGGTTTAGGGTTTAAGGGGGTGCTTTGGGTGTAGGGCTAGGGTTTAAGCAGGGGGTGTGTGAGAGGGGCGCTGGGCAGCTGGGGGAGGTTGAGTGGAGGCAGCAGTCTAGTCGTCAGCAGCACCAGCAGTCCGGAGGCTACAATCTCCGGTAGTCGCCAGTCGCTTGTGGGTCAGTTGCTCCTGCCGCTCGTCTATAGCCGCGGAGTCGGTTACTTTTGTAGTCCGGGCCTTTGCTTCGCTAGCCACTGAGCCAGCAGCTTGTCTATGTGTCTGCAGCGTCAGCAGTCACCTCCCATCTTCTCTCCCCCACAGTCTCTCCTCCTCCTCACTTGCCCTCTGTGTTTAGCTCTAGCCTTACTTACCTATACTGAACTCTTGCTCTATGCCTGCATGCTGTACTGATTATACCCCACTTTGACTATGGGGGTGTGTCAGATTATAATGCATGTCTAGTCTGTAGTGGGGTACTCAAAAGTGAGTATAACCCTTTTAGGGCTTACTACTTGTATCCCCCTCCTTTCTATTTTCAACATTCTCCATCTAAAATCTCTCGACATTTTCCTTACACCCTCGAACTTCACCACTAAGTCACTCCTAAACCATGGCTCCTAAGCCTACTAAACTCTAGTAACTCAACAATATATTACATATTTGGATCACCTGTACTTCAAAAAAATTACCATCAGGTTATTACTTTATCTAAGAGCAATAATTGTATTTTATATTTTATGAGGTGGAATTTTAAATTGAAATTTCTGTTCTCTGCTGAATGGGTAACAGAGACAACGTATTTCTCGAACGAATCGACAAATACATTTTGTGGTATAAATTTGAAATTTTGCGACAGCTAAAAAAGCAAAATTTATACTATCGCTTCCCCAGCCTAGCATGGGGGGGAAACAAACAGTCTAAACGTTCAATGAACTGTGACATGAAGCAATACAATCTGCATATCCCAAAGAACGATCTCCACTGATCAAGTCCAGCTCAAAATGGCTTCACCGTCATGGTGGCACACCATTGAACCTTTTGTGACGATGATCAGCAAGCTCGCTCTTTGAAACATGCAGACATGCATTACTAAACACAATGAAAAGCAAAAATTTATGAACATTATCTAAACATTGAAGGCAAAAAAATAAACTGGTTCTAGGCTTTAAGGATTGGTAATGAGTTGTACGAAATCCTCCCACCCTCCTATGACTCAATATCTGCGGTCACGAAACAACAAAAAAATCATCCTAATGGAAGGCTTCAGTAACAAATAAAACAATCAGAACAAAGAAAGGAGAAATTGGGGGATAAAAAGGAAGCATGACAGTAAAACAAAAGCATTAAGAGGGGGAAACAGAGAAGGAATGGAAATGAATCACCTAGAGATACATGAAGACACAAACAATTAGCATAATGAAAGAGGAAGCAACGAAAATATTGAAGAAAGCGAATTGATGGAGGAACGAAAGAAGATGGAAACAGAAAGGAACACAAAGAAGGAAGACTGAATATGGAAAGGAAAACAAAACTCCACGGCGAGTCGAAAACAGAGATACAAATGGAAGGAAACTAAAGAAGTGCAAGGAAATGAATGGATAAGACGGAAAAGAAGTCCAGAGAGATATACATAAGAAGCTTATAACGGGAAGGTAAGAAAAATGCACTACTGAATCCAAAACAGAAAATGACACATTCAAAGAATGATGCTATGAAGGAGAGAAAAGATACGAGCATAGGGTGAAAGAGAAAAGAAACAATCCATAAAAAGACAGCAATTGTAATCCTCGATAGTATTTCGAGTAACAAGAAGAATGAAGGAACGAAAGATAAGACGAGGAAGGAAGAAAGAAGTGAGAAGAAGTGAACGAGAATGAAATGACTATGAACGAAGTGAGTACAAATAGGAAACCCTGATTGGGTTGTACCCCTTATGGGATACCCCACTATAGCCTACAGAAACAAGTAAGCTATATGTTCTGACACACCCCCATAGGCAAAGTGGGGGAGAACAAGGGGTCACAAGACCAGTCAAGCAAAGCAAAGCAAAGCTCAGGGTGGATCACAAAGTCACCACGCATTCCGAGCACAAGTTCAAAGGCCAGATGGCCAGTTCACATGCAAGATCATATATAGAGATATAAAAGAGGCAAACAAGCAAGAACAAGAGTATATATAGGCGAAGGTACAAGCAAGGTCAAGAGGAGAGCAAGTGAGGCAAGACAGGCACAAGACCCAACTGCGTGCAACAACGCTGATGATCACAAGGCGCAAGTGCCTTGGTGAAGACATCAGCAGTGTTGGCCTCAGAGGCCACGTACGCAAGTCGCAACTGTCCACGCTGCTGTAGCTCACGAGCAAGAAAGTAGCGGAGAGCAATGTGCTTCGTTCTGTGCTCCAGTCGCTGCTCTTGCACAAGGCCAGCATGGCCTTGTTGTCTACGTACAGGACTGGAGGAGAACGAGGCTGCTCTCCAAGGTCGGTCAGCAGGTAGGTGAGCCAACGTAACTCCTGCGCAGCCATAGCCCCAGCGTAGATCTCAGCCTCACAACTGGAGCCGAGAACAGAAGACGAGCGGGTAGCCCGCCACGAAATAGAGCCGGAACCAAGGCTGAAGGTGTAACCCTGTGACGACCGCTGCGTAGCCTGGTCGTCAGCCCAAGAAGCGTCTGCGTGCCCAGTGAGGACCACTGGACTGCGCCCTCCAAGCACTAGCCCCATGCCCGACGTGCTGCACAAGTAGCGCAACACCCTCTTCGCTGCAGCCATGTGCTCTGGTCGGTGTCTCCCAGGAGCAACATAGCGTGCGAGAATGCTAAGAGGGTATGCAAGGTCAGGACGTGTGCAGGTCATCAGGTACATGAGGCAGCCAACAAGCTCTGCAAACGGGCCACTCGACTCTACGGACTCATCCGAAGGCAGAGCTGAGAGTGAGTGGCGAGTAGGCAGAGGAGTGGCCTGAGGCGAGGAGTACGTGAAGCCGAAGCGCTGAAGGACCTGCTGCACCATGTGTGACTGAGTCAGGGTAATGGTGCGGCGCGCTCTGTCCCGGGTGATCTGCAAGCCAAGGTAGCTACGCAGTTCACCCAGGTCAGTGCACGTGTGTCTCTTCTGCAGCTCGGACTTCACGTAGGCGAGTCCAGCAGTGTCAGCTGTGGCAAAGACCAAGTCGTCAACGTACACGAGGATGTAGAACGGCGGCAGAGAGGTGTCGGTGCGCAGAAACAGCGACGGGTCGGCAGTAGACAGAGCAAACCCAAGTGCCGCGAGCGTAGTCCTCAGTGTGTCGTGCCACTCACGTGGCGCCTGGCGGAGACCGTAGACTGGACGCCGGAGACTCCACTGGGTACCAGGAGGGAAAGACCCAGTGAAGCCAGGTGGGCGACGCAGCCAGATCTCCTCGTGCAGACTGCCCTGCAAGAAAGCTGTGCTGAAGTCGAGAGAGTGCAGCTCGTAGTCACGGTGAGCAGCAATGTGCAGCAGAACCCGAAGAGTAGTCAACTTCGGGGTGGGGGAGAAGGTCAGAAAGTAGTCAACCCCCTGCCGCTGACTGAAGCCACGAGCCACGTAACGCGCCTTGAAGACAGGCGGTGAACCCGGCGGCCGCTTCACCCTGAAAATCCACATGCCACTGACGATGTTCGCCCCAGGAGGGGGAACAGCGTCGACGTAGGTGCCTGTGGACTTCCAGGAAGCCATCTCTGCATCCATAGCTGCCTGCCACTGAGAGGAGTAGGGACCCTCTATCGCCTCCGCGTAAGAGCGCGGAGTCGGGATGTCAAGTGCATCCGGGTCTCCCTCAGGGGCTAGCAGTACAGACACGAGATGAGGTGAAGCGGCAGCCAGACACTGGAACTCCTCCTGCCTGTCCTCAAGGACGTCCGTGCCGAGGGCACACTCACCCCCGACGGACGGAGGACAGGCAGACTCAGACTCAGCGACAAGACTGGCAGCGTAGTCTAGACGACAGCGTGCAGCAAAGTCGACAAGCTCAGTGACAAGGGCAGACGCAGCAGACGACTCGAAGGAAGGGTCAGTGACAGCAGTAGCAAGGAGACGCGTGACAGTAGGATTGGCAGCACGAAGAGAGTCCGACTCCGGGTCGGCAAGAGCAGGAAGCGAGGAAGCAGGAGGAGAAGGCAAAGGGGCACGCAGAGGAGCAGTGGACGGACGGAGTGACATCCGGTGCGTGCCAGGGACAGGAGGAGGACGCTGACGCGACCCGCGACCACTAGCGCGCTCAGTACGAACAGGCGACGCAGGACGAGACGCAGGCTCACGACGCTCAGTAAGACCTCCAGTCGGACCAGCGTAGGGAGAAGGAGCAGGCAAAGGGGAGGCAGGCTGTAGCTGTGGCTGTGACCGGACAGGCTGCGGACCCTCTAAGGGAGGAGGAGGTGTAAGACCAAGAACCTGCTGTAGGAGCGGAACGAAGTACGGTCGGGGCCGCGCGGCGACGCCAGAAACAGCAGGAACAGCACCAGTACCCCCAGCAGGAGCACCCACTACAGTAGCACCTCCAGCAGCACCAGAACCTCCAGCAGCAGCACCAGGAGCACTGTCAGTCGGACCGCCAGCGGCAGGCACAGCGCCAACACCCTCAGCAGCACCAGCTCCAGGAGAACCCTCAGACCCAGCAGCTCCAGCACCCACAGTACGAGCACCGCCGGGACGCGCGGCAGCAGTACCCTCTGCAGCCGAAGAACCACCAGCACCAGCAGCACGCCTCCAGCGCCTGGCAAACCACTCACGCAGCTCCTGTGGGGAGAGTGGCTCCCGGCGAGACGAAGCACCCCCAGGCACAGCACCCCCAGGCTCAGCACCCCCAGGCTCAGCACCCCCAGGCTCAGCACCCCCAGGCACAGCACCCCCAGGCTCAGCACCCCCAGGCTCAGCACCCCCAGGCTCAGCACCCCCAGGCGCAGCACCCCCAGGCTCAGCACCCCCAGGCTCGGCACCTCCAGGCTCAACACCCCCAGGCTCAGCACCCCCAGACTCCGCACCCCCAGGCTCAGCTCCCGCAGCAGCACCAGAGTCACCAGTGACCTCGACAAGCTCGACCGCGTCTACCTGGGACACACCTGAAGGGGCAGGACCCTGAGGGGGGAGGGGGTCTACCGGGGGGGGACCTGGTACCAAGAAGAGCGGGGGTGGGGGGAGGGACGGAGTGCGGTAGGGGAAGAGGCGGTAGTAGGGTACCGACTCGTCGAACGTGACGTCCTGGGAGGACAGAACACGTCGAGAGGTGGGGTGGTAGAACTGCCACCCAGGGGCGTCGGGGGGAAACCCCAGGAAGACGCAGGGAGCAGCGCGAGGGGACAGCTTGTCCGCAGACAAGTCGCGGACAAACGCCCGAGATCCCCAGACCCGGAACGCCGACGCATCGCCAACCTTCCCCGTCCACAGCAGGGCTGGGGAGGTCTCCGGTCTGGAGACCCTGGGGTGGAGGTTGATCTGATGCGCTGCGTAACTGACCGCAAACGGCCACAGAAAATGGGGGGCAGCCGCATGCATCATGGACGTACGGGCGACGTCCATGACCATGCCAATGCGGCGCTCAGCAATCCCATTTTGCTGCGGGGAGTCCGGAAGCGTGAAGGACTGGCGGATGCCTCGCGCACGACAGTAGGCACGCAGAAGGCCAGAGGAGAACTCTCCGCCTCTGTCCGAGTGCAGACGCAACACAGGAAAGTCGGAGCCAAAGCTCTGCCTGAGCTGAAGACGAGCTGCACGGATCCAGTCGATCAGCACCTCAGTGACCTCACCCTTGCTGCGCAAGGGGAAGACTGTGGTGTAACGCGAGTAGTCGTCAACAACGAGCAGGAAGTAGCGCTCCTGACCCTGTCCACGGACGCGGGCTGGGCCCCACACGTCCATGTGAAGCGTCTGCAATGGGGCCTCTGTCGGAGGAAACTGGGAGGAGTGAGGGGCAGCACGTTGGCGCCCCTCGACACAGGGGACACAGGCAGGGCCAGGGCCCTGAGGAAGGGGAGGTAGAGACCGGGGAAGACCAGACACAAGAAGACGGGAGGCCATGCCTCTGAGCCGAAGCAGAGAGGGGTGGCCAAGGCGGTGGTGCCAGAGGAGGGTCTCGTGAGACAAACGACGACACGAACAGGGGGCAGACTCAGGACCAGACCTGGACGCTGCGGCAAACACCTGACCAGACGAAGGGACCCTACCAGACTCAGCACCTGGAGGAGAAGCAGTGGTCAGTGTGTACAGGCTCGACCCTGGCCGACGTGTAAACGTAGCCAGGTGGCGTCCCGTGCTAGCCTCCGTGCAGTGGGTCACGCGCTGACGAGCAGGAGTGAACTGGTGGACACCCGCATCCTGTAGGTCAGCACCACTCACCAGGTTCGTCGAGAACGAGGGGAGGTAGAGACCAGACAGGGTGCCAGAGGGGGCCGCCGGACACGGAAGGACCGTGGAGAAGCGAGACAGGACAGGCCCCCCAGAGGGGTCAGCCAGGGACACCGCAACCGGCCGACTCAGCGGCGTGAGAGTGGTGCGGTCCCGAAAGAAGGAGCGAGACGCTCCAGATTCAAGGGTGAAGGTGTGAGAGGCCGAAGCCGACACAGTACCTGAGAGGGCAGACTCACCAGTACCTGAGAGCACAGACGCACTGGCACCTAGAGCAGCAGCCTCACTAGCACCTGACGCAGCAGTACCAATGCCCGGGTCGGGCGGGAAACACCGGTAACAGTCATCCTCATCACTACCAGTCACAACATACATAGCAGAAAGAATAGCATCAAAGTCAAGATCATAAATGGCTACACCAGCCCTAGACAGCTCCCCCCAGCGGGGGATCTCAGCGGCCTCCGGAAACTGCTGACGCCAGGCGTCGGTCAGGCGGCCAAAGCAGCGGCGGGCTGTGTGGGTGCCTCCACACCTCTCCCCCGCACGGTCACCGGTGCGAAGAACGTAGGGGCAGGGACCAAACGCACCACCACGCTGATGCTGCAAGTACCACTCACGGAGCTGCTGAGGGGCGGGGACGGTGCGAGAGCGCTGCTGCTGCGGCTGCTGCTGCTGCTGCTGCTGCTGGCGCTGGCCACCCCCAGAGCTGCTCCGCTGGGACGAGCCACTCCGACCCCCGCCGCCACCGCCACCCCCGCCTCCACCGCCACCCCCGTCTCCACCGCCACCGCCCCCACCGGTACCCTCGCCCCCGCCTCCTCCGCTACCGCCTCCGCCGCCACCTCCGCCTCCACCGCCTCCACCAGTACCTCCACTCCCGCCACCACCTCCACCGCCACCCCCACTGCCTCCGCCACCCCCACCTCCTCCGCCACTGCCCCCTCTAGCTCCACCCGCTCCCTTGCCCCCCTTGCCCTTGCCAGAGCGGCGTCTACCGCTGGGGGCAGACGCCGCACCGACCGACTCAAAACCAGCGAGGTCGGCCGCAGCGGCAGAGGCGACAGAGGGCAGCAGGGGGGAAGGAGAACACCCCTCAAAGATGGGGGTGCGAGGGTCACCCCGAGAGGCCCCTACAGCAACGATGCTCTTCTCAGCCGCTAGCAGGGACTCCTCAAGGAGGTCGACAGTGAGGGTGGTGGGACAGACAGAGAGAAACTGGTCCCTAACGACACGAAGGGACTCAGGGAGACGGGTGACGAGAAAGTAGAGAGTGATGTACATGGGAGGAGGGTTTGCGGCGCGGAACTCAGCACGAAGGGCAGCGCGGTAGCGAGCGTCACTAGCGCAGAGGTGGGTAACGAGGTCAGCGACAGTGGGAAAGGCAGCGAGGTCAGGGAAGAGAAACGGTAGCATGAGGCGGCTCAGCGTAGCGGAGGAAGGGGAGGAGTAGCGTGCAACTACAGCGTCGTACAAGGCCTGAGCGGTCTTGCACTGACTAAAGTGGGCACGCTCGGAGGAAGGGAGGTGGCGACGCACAGCAAGACGTGCAGCAGCATCGCGTGTGGCCCACTTGGAGCGAACAGCAGGGTCAGCATCAGCAGGAGGGGCAGGGACAGCTCCAGAGACAAAGTCAAAGAGAGAAACCTCATCGATCGCATCGCACAGTAAGTACAGCTGCAGGTCCTCAATCCAGACTGGAAAGTCAATGGCGCGACCCTCAGCGTCAAAAGACAGGACACTGGGGGTGGTCATTGCAGCAGCTGATTGTCTCACCGGGCACGAAGAGTCGGGTAGCACAGCGGCGCAGCAACTCGGCAGAACAGCAGCTGCGCACGCCTCGGAGCAGCAGCAGCCCCGCAGGAGCAGGAGCTCGGCTCCTCAGGTTGCCCGGGCGGCTCGGGCGGCTCGGGTTGCTGGGGCGGCGCGGGCGGCTCGGGTTGCTGGAGCGGCGCGGGCGGCTCGGGCGGCTCGGGCGGCTCGGGCGTACGGGCGGCTCGTGTGGCGCGGGCGTCGCGACGGGCGGCTCGCTGGCGGCTCGCTGGCGGCTGCACAGGCGGCTCAGGGACGGCGGCGCGGGCGGCTCAGGGACGGCGGCCTGGGCGGTCGTGGGCGGCTCACGCTGGGCGGGTGCACGGGCGGCTCGGCGGGCGGCGTACAGGCAGCTCACGGGCGGCTGCGACGGGCGGCTCGCGGGCGTCGGGCGCTAGGGCGCTGGGGCGACGACGGGCGGCGCTCAGGCGTCAGGGCGGGCGGCCGTCAGAGCGCTAGGGCGGGCGGCGCTCAGGCGTCAGGGCGGGCGGCCGTCAGGGCGCTAGGGCGGGCGGCGCTCAGGCGTCAGGGCGGGCGGCCGTCAGGGCGCAAGGGCGGGCGGCGCTCGGGCGCTAGGGCGAGCGGCGCACGGGCGCTAGGGCGGGCGGCCGTTAGGGCGCTAGGGGGGGCTGCGCTCGGGCGCTTGGGCGGGCGGCGCTCGGGTGCTAGGGCGGGCGGCCGACAGGGCGCTAGGGCGGGCGGCCGTCAGGGCGCTAGGGCGAGCGGCGCACGGGCGCTAGGGCGGGCGGCCGTCAGGGCGCTAGGGCGGGCGGCGCTCGGGCGCTAGGGCGGGCGGCGCTCGGGCGCTAGGGCGGGCGGCCGTCAGGGCGCTAGGGCGGGCGGCCGTCAGGGCGCTAGGGCGGGCGGCGTTGGGGCGCTAGAGCGGGCGGCCGTCAGGGCACTAGGGCGGGCGGCTGTCAGGGCGCAAGGGCGGCGGCGCTCGGGCGCTAGGGCGGGCGGCCGTCAGAGCACTAGGGCAGATCGAAAAAAAAAAGAAGTACTAGGGCCCG